AGCTCTTTCACAGTTCAGGATGATTGAAAAGGTCCTGATGATGAGATCATGGTCCGATAGCCAGGACCAGACACATTAGGAGCTCAAACGCCCCACCGAGGAAGCTGCTCGATTGCCGAGTCGTGCATGCTCCCCGACTGGCTCCTGAGAGCCCGGATGACCCACGCAGCGTGTGTTAGCGGACCGTGTTTTTTTACGCATTGTTTTACGTTGTTTGCACAACTGCGAGCCATTATCGCATCCGAACAAGCACAGATCTCACGCCGTGCGGAGCTGCTCGAGCAGTAGCAGTTAGTATGGTCATCGCACACGCACAGCGCAACCAATGGGCAGACAATAAGGAAAGCAAAGCAAGCGTGTGGTGGTGCTGCTGCTGCTGCACACAATAGGACACAACGGAGGGCACGGGTGGCAGTCAGCTAAAGGAATGCAGGCACGAGTTTGCCTGGTGAGGAATGCACGCCCAACTCAGCCCATCATCTCTTTTTTTTTGCCCGGGAGGCAGACACACCAAGGGCTGTGCGTGGATGTTTGCTTTGGAGACATTTCAAAGGAGATACACACACATATTTACGGGTTGACGGGTAGCCAAAGGGGGGGGGGGGGGGTGGCAGAAAAAAATAGTCATGGAAAGAGTTCTAGGAACTTTGGGTAAAAAAAAAAAGCTGAACAAAGCCAATGTGTTAAAATGTGGATTTGTGATTTGAATGTGTGCATGTGTGCATGTGTGTGCACTGGATGATCCCTACGATAGAAGGGTCACTTTTTGGAATCTTACGAAGTGTGCAAGTTTAACTCAACATGTTTACTCATGCAACTTGATTTAATTAAACCGATTACGCAACGGGTTTGCATTTACGGTGGAGGGATTGCGCGGTGGTTAGCGACGCTGGGGTATGAACCCAGATACTTGCGTTTGATACCCGACTGATGCGAAGGTCAGTGACGAGTGATATCTGGACCATTCCTGGTCCTCCCCTTCTTCAACCCGCACTGACCAACACCGTGAAATATGGTCAACATCACCCCCACTCCCATGATCAAGACAAAGGTGAAACAACCCCCAATCCACTGCTGAACGAGGCCTTTCATCCAGCAGTGGATTGAGAAAGGACTGTAAATTAACAGGAATACTCACACATTGACATTCCCCATCATATAGATGCTATTATAATATTGCAGGAACATGTGACTAGGCGATCGACGGCAGTAATACATGTGCAACACCAGACGTACATATGGACATCATCGCACACAATATGCTATTAGAGTACAATTACATGCGCATTGTTCATGTAAAGCCTAAGTGCTCTCTTTGGTTATTTCGGTAAAGTCACGTAGGTAGAAATAAAATAAAGATTTACGTGACTTTACCGAAAGAACCAAAAAGTATGGATTCCTGAAGTCACAAAGTTTCAAATCAAGATTAAAGCCTAAGTGGGTTGCATTTTTGCTTTTTCTGTGGAACGGAGTCCCATAGATTATCTTTTGAATGGAGTGCTCTTGCCAATAGCATCCTGCAGTTCAGCAGCATTTAACAAACTTGACTGCTGATGAGACCTAGAAGTTTGAAACATGTCTAATATTTGCATGTTTAAACCAACGCCGATTGAGAATATTGTTATGGGAAGGCAATAATAGGTGGGTGGACTGAAACATACGGTATTTAAATTTACGTACGTGTACGAACACAATGGATGTCGGCGTACTCTTGCAGTTCAAAGGTCAAGTTGGATCTCCCTTTTGAAATTGACTTCATGTAACAAAATGCATCCCAACAGCAGAAAAGGAATTGACACTGCAAAGGGGCGGGGAACCATTTCAGTGCGTACACAATAGGCTAATATTAGCTGGAGAGCTTACAATTAGAATCTTATGTCCGAGGTCCTAAGCCGTATTACCCTCACGGGTGAGTTACATGTGTAGTGCGTTGTATATATGTTTTTGTGTCGATGGAGCGGTGGCACAATAAGTATATTGCACTGCGCTATGAACGCAGCGAGTCTCGCTCACGGCCATGGGCCTCCCCTAGGTTGACTCAGCCTTAAATGAGAACCTGATGCGTTGTGGTGAACGTCGGCACTGAGAAGACAAAGGCGGCCAGGCGTGGTGTTTGGCCGTGCCGGTCATCACAGATGCTCGCTCACGGCACTTGCCCCAACAGTCTGTTAGAGGCTATTACGGGGGATCTTTATCTTTATGTGTACGTTTGTACATAGTATATATACACACAACCCAGAGTATATCATTTTGATTTAAAGCTTTCGTGACTGCAGGGATTCATATTCTTGGTTCTTTCGGTAAAGTCACGTAGAAGGGAAACAATAAAATATTGTTTTATATTTTAATTATTTGATTGTTTTCCTTCTACGTGACTTTACCGAAAGAACCAAGAATACAGAGTATATCACTTTACGTTAACGCCAATTTGTTCGAATCACGCCCTTGAACAGTGCCGGAACAGATAATCGGCACTAAAACAACTTAAATTCTTCCCAAGGTGCGCCTTTTTAATCCTAGAACAAATGTGTACAGATGTAGATAAACATATCAGAGAGTAGGCGCAACAGAATTTCCACGTGATAAGTAATTCATTTCCTGCAAATCCTTCGCCACGTTAGTGACCACCCATTAAGTCCGATGACATACAACTCCGTTTTCAGTCAATCAATAAAGGTAAGCTTTAAGTAGCGTCAGCCTCTTGGCTTTCCAAACCAATATCATCCTGAAGTGTTTGTTTAACCAAGCAAACGCTACAGCTGGTTGATACCTCATCAGCAAGTCAGGCTTCTTAGACAGACGCTTCTGCTGCTGCTGCTGGCCCACATGTCATTGGCGAAAGCAACTCCCATATATACACGAGGACTTCCGTGGTCAAATTGCACGGCGCGCATCAGGGTTGGTGGTAGAAAGCCCGCATTATCTGGTCGACCGCCTTTGTCTCTCCCGAGTGCCCAGGCGGGCACTTCAGAGTGGGGCTGAACGATTTAGGGAAAATATCTCATTGAGATTTTTCTGACAGACATTGCGATTGCATTTGCGATTACATTTTGTTAAGTCAAGCTTCAGTTCAATATTCACTGTGTAATAGATTTAAAATTACGTGATGGAGCATTACCACGTGATACCATCAAAATATGAACTGCTCTATATATTCTAATGCAAGGATGAGAACTTAAAAGACATTAATTGCTTCCAACATGTGTTTATTAAAACGTTTTTTTATTGAAATAGAACAATCAAACATATAACAATGGTTAAGTTAAATAAATAAAGTTCTAATAGTAAAACATAAAAAATTCAAGTAATAGGACTTTTGAAATCGCAAAAAATCGCAGCCTTTGCGATTTGCTCATCGCGTTGTTTCAAATTGCGATTTCGATTTGAAATCTAATTAATCGTTCAGCCCTACTTTAGAGCCAGGTCGAGAAGGAAGTCGCCGTGACTTGAGAGTAAAATATCATTTTAGAATCGAAACTCGGACGACACCAAGCACACGTGGGTCAGGCACGCGAACAGCACATACACACAAATACAAGACAAAGATCCCAGACATATATCCTTAACAGACTGTTGGGGCAAAGTGTAGATAGCGAACACATCCACAATGCATTCACTCTGCCCCTTTCTGTCAATCCACTGCTGGATGAAGCTCTACCGCAGGCAATGTTGGTTAAAGGGTCATCCATTTAGTCCGTACGCATGGAGGGGGAAGGGGGGGGTTAACCCAAATGCGTACGCTTGCGTATGGGGGGGGGGGGGTCCTCCTCACAATGTATGTATACATAGGAAACTGGGGGGGGGGGGGGGGGTGAAGCCTCGATAATAATTTGTCTACATTGGCCTTCAAATGAGCCACAGTTCAGTTTATAAAGCTGTCAGACAAGCAGCTCAGCAAAATAAGTGGCCAAGGTACGCGGCTTAATTCTTTAATGCAGCCGGCGGTGGACTGTTTGCTTAAACACGTTAATATTATTAATTCTTGATCGTTTCTGCGTGGATTAAATATCGGCCGTTCTATAGGATTCTGGGGGGGGGGGGGGGGGGGGGAGGTGCGTCAGGCGTACGTACGCAGGTGGGGGGGTGGGTAAAAAGTCCACGTGCGTACAGGGAGGGGGGGGATGGGTCAAGTTGACAGATTTTTGCGTACCTACTAAATGGATGGCCCCTAAGGGGGTAATTTGACCATACTTCGCCATGCTGGTCAACGCGGATTGTTGAAGCGTGGTGCGGGAAGGGACCCATCCGATCATATACCATTTTTGTCAATGATCACAGGCATGGTGGGGGATCGAACCCAGGTGCTCTGCTTCGCCGGGTTCGTAGCGCTGTGCGATAACCACTGCGCGCCTCCACTCCACCACACAATTAACAACAGCCAGGCACTTGAATCAAAATCGCTCATTGCCCACGACCAACCAGAGACTATTTGGGGTTGCGTGCGATCTTGTACGACTTTATAGACGATGTGCAGCATTGGCGCCCTTTCAATATCGCGTCACAACATATCCACATTCTAACAGAAAGCACATTTTAGGCTGAGGGCTAGTTCGAATGAACTTCACCATTCATTCACAACATCCCACTGGCAAATCCGCTGCTGGATGACTTCGCAGTGATGATGATGATGATGACGAATTACATAAACTCCCTTGCACAATTCGGAATTGGACGTTGTACTCTATATCTTTTTATCCCCCCCCCCCCACCTCTATTCGAATTACATTTTGCATCACACGTGCGTGGCGGTGCGCGTAACGCCGTGGCATCTGCACGTGCATCAATTCGCAACGCGGACCCAGCGGCAGCATACGTAACAGCGCCCGAGTTGTTGTGACACAATCACGACCGTACTGTATTACAATCACGTTGTGTATAAACCCTACCTCAAGGCGACTCACGCATGAACTCAAGCACACCCACACACCCCAAATGCACAGCGCACCTTCGAGGCAATGAATGTCACGTGTGCTCACAAGCGGCACCACGGTTGCGCTTACCTGGCCGTGCGCCGTTCCGAGTTCTTGTTTTCGACTCGTTGGGAAGTCTCCCTACCCCGATTCTCGCCTCTCTTCTCTCTCTCTTCTCTCTCCCTTGAATGAAACCTTGTCACCGCTGCGTGTATATACACACACACACGTCGACTGACTCGTAGGCTGCCGCTGTCGATTACACATACACACGGATGCTAAGTCTTGTTGAGTGGAGTGTCGAGCGGGGGAGGATGGTTTGCGAGTGCGCGTCTTGCAGAGGCCGCTGACTTTGCCGAGTTGTGAGCGGCGCGGATGATGAAGCCTTCTTGTAGTCGTGGTGGGGTGGGGTGGAGTGGGGGGGGGCTGTTACCCACCACAGAGCCGTGTGTGGGGGGAGGCGACAGCAAGCGGAGAAACTCTCGTGTCGAGTAGCTTGGGGCGTGTGCGTGTGTGTGGGGAGGAGGAGGAGGAGTGAGAGAGCTGGCCGGGGTTTTTTTGTGTGGTTGGCGGGCAGAGGCGGGGGGAGAGACGGGAGATGAACGTTCACGCCCATTGGGTCCGGCTTCGCTAACTTCGTTGCAGATTCATTAAATGAGCTCTCCTCGTGCCCGACACAAAGATCGCCTCCCTCCCCCCCCTCCACCACCTACAACACTTTAAACGGACTGCTGTGGAGTGGTCAGCACCACGGGCTGGCCGCCTTTGTCTCTCCAATGGGGGAGATGTGTTTTTGTTATACACCGCACGAGGTGTTGGTTTGAGGCTGAGTCGACCCAAGGGAGGCCCAAGGCCGGTTCAGACAATCGTCACACACACTCACCGACACACACACCGACACACACTCACCGACACACACACACTCACCGACACACACTCACCGACACACACTCACCGACACACACTCACCGACACACACTCACCGACACACACTCACCGACACACACACACCAACACACAAACACTCACCGACACACACACTCACCGACACACACACTCACCAATACACACACTCACCAATTCACACTCACCGACACACACACACTCACTGACACACACACCAACACACTCACCGACACACTCACCGACACACACTCACCGACACACACACACTGACACACACACACACACCGACACACACACACTCACCGACATACACACAATCACCGACACACACACTCACCGACATACACACACGCGTGAACGCGTCTAACCCCCTCCGCAGGACAGACCCAGTCCCACTTAAAAGCTTTAACTGAAACTCGTGCAACCCCAAAGATCCCACGTTAATTCTTCCAAGCTGCAGAGTTAAGTGCTGTTAGCGAGCACCTATTAAGGGAAGAAAGGTGGGCTGGGGGAGGGGGTGTGAGCAGCTCGCACCACGCCAAGTCCGTCTTTGTCTTCCCAGTGCTGATGGTCACAGTGTGCAAGTGGCACACAAGGCGGATTCATTACATCGCACAACCGTGAGACGGACACACGTTTTCGTTAGGCCTTCATTCAGTAGTGGATTGAGCGTGGCCAGTGATGTCAGCCTTGATGTTAGCCTTGAGCGGGACTCGATTTGTGGCGCAGTGCGCTAATCACTGCGCTTCTGCTCCCCCACTTAACGCAAAGCCAAAGACAGACAAACGCGTAAAGCCACTCCTCACATCCAGCTACTTACACATACAAAGAACCCCTGTGTAGCCTTCACAGAATGTGTTAGCGAACACCTATGAAGTTCGGAACAGTACACGAGGGGATGGTGGGGTGGTGGTGGCCAGAACCACGCCCGACCGCCTTTGTCTCCCCAGTGGTGATGTTTACACACCACACCAGATACTCATTTGAAGCTGAGTCGACCTAGGGAAGGCTCATGACCGGTTCAAAATAATCGTCACTGTGAGTGGGTATCGAACTCGGGTCGCCGGGTTCGTAGCGCAGCGCGCTAACCATGACACTACCGCTATACCACCAGCCACACGATCCGAACCACACAGCCACACATCCAGCCACACACACAAAAAAACCCAGCCACGCACACACATTCAGCCACACACACACCCAGCCACACACACACACCCAGCCGCACACAGCCACACGCACACACATCCACCGACACACACACATATCCAGCCACACACACACCCAGCCACACACACACACATTTAGCCACACACACACAGCCACACACACACACACCCAGCCACACACACCCAGCCACACACACACACAAACCCAGCCACACACACACACACAAACCCAGCCACACACACACATCCAGCCACACACACACCCAGCCACACACACACACCCCCAGCCACACCCAGCCACACACAAACCCAGCCACACACACACATCCAGCCACACACACACCCAGCCACACACACACACGCACCCAGCCACACACACGCACCCAGCCACACACACACCCAGCCACACACACACAAACCCAGCCACACACACACACAAACCCAGCCACACACACACATCCAGCCACACACACACCCAGCCACACACACACACACCCAGCCACACCCAGCCACACACACACCCAGCCACACACACGCACCCAGCCACACACACACCCAGCCACACACACCCATCCAGCCACACACACACAAACCCAGCCACACAGAGCCACACGCACACACACCCAGCCACACAAACCGAACCACTCACACCCATCCACACACACACAGCCACACACACACGAATCCAGCCACACACACACGAATCCAGCCACACAAACCCAACCACTCACACACACCCAACCACACACACACCCATCCACACGAACTCAACCACTCACACACACCCAGCTACACAGACACACACACAACCAGCCACACACACACACACTCAACCAGCCACACAAACACATCTAGCCACACAGACACATCCAGCCACACACACACCCAGCCACACACACACACTCAGCCATACACACACAATCAGCCACTCACACACACCCAGCCACACACACACACACAGCCACACACACACAGCCACACACACACAGCCACACACACACACCCAGCCACACACACCCAGCCGCAGACACACACACCGCAGGTCGGACTGAGTGGATGTGGAGGCGTATTGTAGTGCGCGTGCCCCCATGCAGTGCGACTTGACACGTCTCACGTGGCCACGCGGGGACCGTGGCGCTCCATGTGTATTGGCAATTGTAATAACACCGGGCGATTCATTTACAGACACTCCACATTTCTACCGCAACCTCCCACTTTCTTCTGAACAGGTGGTCGGATCGTGCGAGAGCGGGATGGCTCCACGTCGTGCAGAGGGAGGGGAAGTCAAACTGCGGCGTTTAATTGGTGCATTTGAGATAGGCGGGAGACGTGTGTTGGCTTTTGAATTTTAAAAAAACAGTTGTTATCTCCACAGTGCCTCCCTATTATTGTAGCGGGTAACCCTATCAGTGGTTCACCCTGTACGTTTCGCCCTTCTGTATTGACTGGGATAGGGAGGTAGAAGGTTTGAGCGGCGGAACCAATCCTAGTTGCTCTTGAATCCGCCAAGCTCTGGAGTCAAATGCATTCACAATGGCACCACGACCATTATAAGTTTGAACTTCGGCAGAGTAGCCACTTTAACTTTGTGATCTCACTTGAGTGCATTACGCTGTGCCCTATGTGTTGTGCTTTCGATACTGACGCATTACCTAAATATGATATTTGCCTTTCATATTAAACATTAATTCATTGCACATGTTGTATATGACCGTACTATCTTAACAAAGAGTGCCATGTCTGTATGTTTGTCTACACTCTAGAAATCGGCTGCATCTGAGCATCGATTCGTCAATTCATTTTGATTATTGATCGCACGATATCAAATTCGATGTAAGAATATGGGTGTTTTTACATTGTTTGCATATTATTGATTCACATCACCCCTGCAGCCACTAGAGGCGCTACAAATCACTAAAATGTAAAAAAAACGAAATCTGAATCAGCATATTTATGCTGGAGGAATCAGATGAGCTATAAAGCTCTTTTCACATTGTGATCCCAAATTGTTCCTACTATCTAATCTCTGAATAATTTTACATGGGTAGCCAAGTACACACAAACATTTCGGATGTATTCTTAAATTGCACAAGTGTTTGTTTGAGATAAGAGTTATACCCCCCTATGTGCATTATAACTGCTGTTAATTTAAATTAACAATATGAAACACATAGTTGCAGGCTATGCTCAAGGACATTTTACAATACATCTATATTTTAAACGCTAAACCTGAGTCGACATGGCTCCGCGCAACTCCAAGACGTTTTATCGGCAGACTTTTATTTGGGTATCATGCATCAACGCTGCAATGTGTTCGCCAGAGGCGTATGCTGCCGGTAGCGTTCTACATTAGCCAAGTAGGTTTTTTTTTACTAGTGCCATTGTCATTGTGTAACACGGTCGGCCATTCGAGCCAAGGATATGCGCGTACCTTGCTCGTTGTCCGTACAGGACCTCCCACATTATCCCAGGTAGGTGTCAGTGGTCGCCTGGTGGTTAAGGGGGAAATGAGGTGTCCATTTGGGGGGTGAAATTAAGCAAACAGAACCAACAGTTATGGGATTATGGCTAATTATCCAAACACACATCCGGCATGCATGGGCGATGCTCGCTAAGAATTACTGGGAACCGGCGGCTTGTGATACTCCATGCATAAGAGGCACCACTGGTTAGACACGGCCAAAGGCAGTGTTTCCCCATGCAGACTATATAACTCGTTGGGGCAAGTGCTGTTAGCGAGCACCTACTCAGGCTGGAATGGCACACGAGGGGCTGGTGTGTGACTGATGTTGACCGTGGCGATGAATCGAAGTCGAGTTGCTGAGTTTATGGTGCAGCGTGATAACCACCACCGCTCCCCACTGAACGCACACGTCAGTACTTGGATCATTCAACGCCCATCTCTCCCATCCTGCCCCACTGCCCAGTCCAACATTCCAAAGTCTTCACCACTGTATGTTCAAAGTCAAAAAGTCAAAGTGTGCCTTTGCTAAAAGGAGCATGGGCCATTCACATGTCCGTTGGAAGCCTAGAGTCTATTGGTGAAAATTCCACATTCCTATAATGGTGTACAGTCTATTCATCCGACAGCCCTGAAGGATAATGGGAACGCTCTGCCACAATGTGTTGTCTTATTGCTCTATAAATGTGAAAAACAATAGCCTTTAAAAATACAATATATGTTCAAATACAACATGCGGAAGTAAGCCACGCTTGCTTATTTCCCATAGCAGTTCCTAACACGTGGAGTAAAATATCAGACATAACGCCAAACAATGTACGGTACAACTCTAGAACACACTCGAAAGCTACCCACACTTTAACCCACCATAATACACCATCCCCCCCCCCTCCCCAAGTTAATTGTTGCAACACAGCCTCCGGATTAGCGTGAGGTGATACGATTATTTTATATCATAAATGTAACGAATGAGATTACAGTCA